CTGAATGTGATTGTCCAATTTGTATATATGTATCATTTCTATATCCTGAAGTTAGGAATATCGACTATAACAATTACAACTGTGTTTTCATCTGGGGAACGCCCACCAGACAGTATGCAAACAGCCTGTATGGGCCATTGGGGGAACAATAGGTCTTTGAAGATGCTAATCTCCCTCCTTCCTGAGAAGTTTCCTGGGATGCTGCTTTGACACTGCAGGGTCCACCCCAGAAGGAAGACTGCTGAAAACACCTGAAGAAACAAAGGGACTAAACTAGGGGGGGCAGGGGCTGAGCCCAGGTGAGCAAGGTCTAGCCTATGAAAGGAATACCTGGAGATTTAAGCTGCAAACTGTGCAGTTTACATTCAAGAAACTCTGCAACCTGCTTGAAACAACACTTCGGGTGAGAATTTGCTACCATTAACGAGTTAATTTTGTGTATTAAGCTTAGTTTGCGTGTTTTGATTTATTTGCTCAGTAATCTGCTTTGATCTGTTTGCTGTCCCTTATAATCACTTCAAATCTACCTCTTGTAATTAATAGATAGGTAAGTCAGGATGGAAGGGGAGGGGTAGGACAGAGGCACAGGAGACGCTGAGGGGGCTTCCGGTGGGAGACAGGATCATCGGCAACTCACTCATCACCTGAGCAGCTGCTAGGGCTTCAGTGAGTGTTCGACCCTGTGATTCCCCACCCCACCCCTCCCACCCAGCCATCGCTCCTGCAAACTGGGCAAAGGGCAGCCCCATCCACCAGCTAGTGAGGCTATGGCGAGGGGCAGCAGAGGAGGAAGGAAGCCACATGTGATGGCAGTCCCCTCCCCCCAGCACCCACCACCCACAGATCCCACATCCTCTCTCTGGCCCCCAAACTCTGTCCCAGAGCCTGCACCCCAGACTCCATCCCAGAGCCCAACCTCTCAGCCGTCCTACACCCCAATCCCCTGCCCCAACCCAGGGCCTGCACCCCAGACCTCCTCCCACCCAAACTCCCTCACAGAGCCTTAGGCAGGTGGGGGGCAGAGTTGGGGGGGCAGGCTCTGAGTGTTCTGGGCACCACCAAAATTTCTACAAACCTGCTGCCCCGCTACTTGGAAGGGGGGGTGAGGAGGCAAGTCGGTGGATGGAGGGGGGCATCCATTTTCAGTATTTTAATTTTTGGTACTGCATTGATTGACTGCTGTGTGCATTAATATAGTGACCCCCTGGGTCTTTAAATGAGGCTTTATACTTGGTGGGGGGTGACGAGGCGAGCAGCAAGTTGGTGGCACTGACACTGACAGTTGAGTGAAGTGAGGCACTACCAGCAAGGGGGCTGCCATGTACTCAGGACAGAACAGAAAATTTGATCACAGAGTGGAATATCGTACGATGAATGAATGAAGATTTGACTTCAACTTCTTTTTTATCATCAGTAGTGGCTCGAACTGATCTCTGTGTTCTGTTTCCTGGGATGAAAGAAGTAGGAATTCATCTCTTGCTACTCCCAGTCACAACAGCTACAGTCGAGCGTTCTTTTTCATCACTGAATAGAATTTTGTATTCTGAAAGAAGTTGCTTTCTGCCTGATCATGTGAATGAACTAACAAGCATATCAATCGAAGGAATGGAAGTAGCAGACACACGAGAAGCTACCAAAAGGTGAACATGTTGCATTCAAGAAATTCATTAACAGAGTTGTGCAAAATTATAACAAGAAACCAAGAAGGATGTAGATGTCATACTTCATAGAATGCTTGAGTAGCTAACTTTAATTTGTGTGATGATTTCAAAACATGAGTTAAATCTAATAAAATAGTCACAAAACAGTTTTCAGTTTTTACTATGGTGCTATACAGCCCACGTTCACCCTCACTGTCTCACCCAGCATCGGCCCTCGCCCCCCCTGTAAATTCAAACACCCCCCCTGTGACGGGTTAGATCACAGAACCCCCTTTGGGAGCTGCCACCTGATGTGCCAAGACTACCTCCACCCCTGCTTTTCCTGCCAGCTTTGGGGCCCAGCACCCTGTCTTGCTGAGCCAGACACTCTCATCTGCTCCAACAAAGACCCAGGCTCTGAATTACTTGCCCCAAAGCTGCAGGTTTACCTGAAAGCAGCTCACAGAAGTGTTCCTGTCTTTAACACTCAGATGCCCAACTCCCAATGGGGTCTAAACCTAAATAAATCCATTTTGCCCTGTATAAAGCTTATACAAGGTAAACTCATAAATTGTTCGCCCTCTACAAGAGAGAGATGCACAGTTGTTTGCTCCCCCAGCTATTAATACATACTGTGAGTTAAGTAAAAAGTGATTTTATTAAATACAGAAAGTAGGATTTAAGTGGTTCCAAGTAGTAACAGACAGAACAAAGTAAGTTACCAAGCAAAATAAAATGTGCAAATCTATGTCTAATCAAACTGAATACAGATAATCTCACCCTCAGAGATGCTTCAGTAAGTGTTTTTTTTTGTTTTTGTTTTTTTTCTCAGACTGGACACCTTCCAGGCCTGGGCACAATTCTTTCCCCTGGTACAGCTCTTGTTCCAGCTCAGGTGGCAGCTAGGGGATTCTTCATGAGAGCTCCCTTCCCTTTGTTCTGTTCCAGCCCTTTATATATCTTTTGCAAAAGGCGAGAATCCTTTGTCCCTCTCTGGGTTCCTACCCCTTCCTTCTCAATGGAAAGACACCAGGTTAAAGATGGATTCCAGTTCAGGTGACATGATCACATGTCACTGCAACACTTCATTGCCCACTTGCCAGCACACCCTATACAGGAAGCCTCACAGATAAAACACAGCCATCTGCAGTCAATGGTCTTGGTTAGTGGGAGTCATCAAGATTCCAAACCACCATTAATGGCCCACACTTTGCATAATGACAATAGGCCCTCAGTTATTTTATATTTCTAGTTTCAGATACAAGAGTGGTACATTTATACAAATAGGATGATCACACTCAGTAGATTATAAGCTTTGTAATGATACCTTACAAGAGACCTTCTGCATGAAGCATATTTCAGTTACATTATATTCACTCATTAGCATATTTTTTATAAAACCATATAGACTACAACATCACACCCCCTAAGTTCAATTCCTGGGGAAAACAGTGGTTCAACATCTTTATTAATTATCTGGATGATGGGATTAATTGCACTCTCAGCAAGTTTGTGGATGACACTAAACTGCGGGGAGAGGTAAATATGCTGGAGGGTAGGGATAGGGTCCAGAGTGACCTACACAAATTAGAGGCTTGGGCCAAAACAAATCTGATGAGGTTCAACAAGGACAAGTGCAGAGTCCTGCACTTAGGACGGAAGAATCCCATGCACTGCTACAGGCTGGGGACCGACTGGCTAAGCAGTAGTAGGAGCATTGCCAGCAGATCGAGGGAAGTGATTATTCCCCTCTATTTGGCACTGGCGAGGCCACACCTGGAGTATTACGTCCAGTTTTGGTCCCCCCACTACAGAAAGGATGTGGACAAATTGGAGAGAGTCCAGCGGAGGGCAATGAAAATGATTAGGGGGCTGGAGCACATGACTTACGAAGAGAGGCTGAGGGAACTGGGATTGTTTAGTCTGCAGAAGAGAAGAGTGAGGGGGGATTTGATAGCAGCCTTCAATTACCTGAAGGGGGGTTCCAAAGAGGATGGAGCTCGGCTGTTCTCAGTGGTGGCAGATGACAGAACAAGAAGCAATGGTCTCAAGTTGCAGTGGGGAAGGTCTAGGTTGGATATTAGGAAACACTTTCACTAGGAGGGTGGTGAAACAGTGAAAATGGGTTCCCTAGGGAGGTGGTGGAATCTCCATCCTTAGAGGTTTTTAAGGCCTGGCTTGCCAAAGCCCTGGCTGGGATGATTTAGTTGGGGTTGGTCCTTGTAGCGGGGTGGACACCCGCTCCTGCCCTGAGGGGTTTGGAACAGCCCTGGGAGACGGCTGGGGCAGGGAAGGCTGAGCTGATTAGGGGAAGTGGCTGCAGCTGGGGCCATGCCCCATACAGACTCAGCTGGCCCTATAAAGGCAGGGAGCCAGGCACTCAGACAGAGTCTCTCTCTGCATTCAGAGAAAGAAGGGCCTGGCTGCAGAGATGGGGTACCTGATTGGAGCAGGGCTGGGGAAAGGCTGAGGAGCTGGGGCGCTCCAGCCTGGATAGCCCCAGGCTGCGGCCTAGTACAAGGCCAAGGGGCACTGGGGGTTGCAGAGGGCAGCCCATGGGTAGGCCAAGGCAGCAGGTCCAAACCCAACCTTACCTGTGATGAGTGGCCTATACTGCAGTCTGCCCCAGGGAGCGGGGGCTAGTTGGTGACTGGCAGTGGTCTTATTCTGAGGTGAGGTAGGGATAGTGGGTGGGGGTTCCCTGGGGAGGGGAGACCCTAGTACTGAGGGGTGTACTGCTAGGGGGCAGCACCTCAGATAAAAGGGCACCTGGGTCTGGGAGGGACACAGGGGCCAGAGGACAGGCAGATCACTGGCCTCCAGAGGGTGCTCCAGGATGCTGGAAGAGCTGATGACCAGCAGGAGGCACCGCAGGGGTGAGTCCGCTCCTCTACAGTCCTGCTTTGAGCAGGGAGTTGGACTAGATGACCTCCTGAGGTGTCTTCTAACCCTAATATTCTATGAAGTCCATCACAGGCCTAAACTTAATTCTTAAGGCATTCTCCTGTCTCCTACAAGCTTACCCCAAGTTCTTTTGGTGTTTTCAACCAGTTTGGTTGAGACCCCTTCTCCTGCCCTGCCCTACTCCCTGCTGATAGCTTGTTCTCTCAGAGTGAAGGATACCAGGGGCTAATCCACACCCCGATATAGTTTCAAAAGTTCCTTGTCTTACCCCTAAACAGGATAATGAGGAGAACCAAGGACTGGAGGTCAAACAATGAAATTAATAGGCAGCAGATTTTAAACAGACAAAATGCATAGTCAACCTGTGGAACTGTTTGCCAGGGGATGTTATGAAGGCCAAAACTATAACAGGGTTCAAAAAAGTACTAGATACATTCATGGAGGAGAGGTCCATCAATGGCTATTAACCAGGATGGGCAGGGACATAACCCCATGCTCTGAATGTCCCTAGCCTCTGTTTGACAGAAGCTGGTTGTGGATGACAGAGGATGGATCATTTGATGATTGCCTGTTCTGTCATTCCCTCTTAAGCACCTGGCATAGACCACTGTTGGAAGACAGGATACTAGGCTAGATGACCATTGGTCTGACCCAGTATGGTTGGTCTTATGTTCTTATAACTCCTGCTGTTTAATTCCTCCTGTTAATTTCCTCTCTTTGAAGATTTCACAATTCTTCATTAGCATTCAGTTCAGACTTCTGAGTGGATGCACATTGTGAACCATACAGTACTTGATTTACATGCAAACAGGCAGAGAGATCAACATTTCTTGCCTGAAAGAAAACCTGCTTTTCCCCTTTGCTGATGGCCAGTACCTAGACACAGACCTTAAGAACGTAATATTTGTGCAGATACACAACTCCTTAAATATCACCAGTCCATCTAGCTTGCAATGATTAACTGCGCTGGAATGACACAGGCTTTCATTAGACATCACGTGACCTCTTTTGGTGAACCCAGAGGAGCCCTATACCCCTAGTGCCCTCTGCTAGTTGGCATCAAGAGTCCTTGGGTCACAGTGGGGGGCAGAGGGAGGGCCAGTGTCTGGCCAGATTGCTCGGTGGCTAGTCCAAGCAGGCTCGGGGCTTCCCCTCACACACCCAGTGGTGCTGCTCTGTGCATGGGGTGTCATACCAGTGGCCATCCTGTCGTGCCAGCGCACAGTTCTCCGTCTGCCCACCATTGGGCTCCCCTGTCTGCCAATAGCTGGAAACCAAAACAGGGAGAACAAGGTAGAGCAAGGCTGGTAATGCTGCAGCCCCTGTGACCCCCGCAGCCCCTGTGACCCCCGCAGCCACAAGACTGTGCAGTCACAAGCCCCTGTGACTCCCAGTCCCCATGTTCCCTGCAGCCCCTGTTGCAGGGGCTGGTAGCTGCCATGAGGCAAGCCCCAGTCCCCATGACACCTGTGGCCCCCTTCAATCCCCATGACCGCCTGTGGCCTCCTGCGACCGCATACTCTGCCCAATGACCCCCACAGTGCTGGGGGCCACAAGTGTCACAGACTGGGGCTTGCAGGGACTGGTGGCTGGAGCAGGAGTGGGCAGAACTGAGGAGGGAACTTGTGCTGGATTAAGCCCAGGTCACAGAGACAATCCCCATCTCACTCCTCCCCCAGAGCATCTCTCTGCATAGTCAGGTGGGGGTGTCAGAACTCCCCATGGCCTTGGCTCCTCCCCCACAAACATTGTCCCATACGACTAGGTTCCTGGAAGTTGCTTCCTCACATCCCACCCCAGGGACTAGAGGGACAATTGCGGGTAGGGGGTGTCAGTTCCCAAACTGGGACAGCATGGAAGTGGGAGATACTGGGATCAACTACACCAGGCAAGTTATAGCCTGGAGACCAGGAGGGAGGAGCAAGGGCACAGTGCGCTTGGCGGAACTGGATGGGGAAAAGGCGGGGCCGGCGTGGGAAGAGGTGGGGTGGGGCCTGGACAGAGCCAGGGGGGAGCACCCCTTGGCAGATAGAAACTCGGCACCTATGTCCCGAGCCCTGCATCCACCCTAGGGACGGCCCTGGGGAGAACCCAGGTCTGGAACAGCATGTCAGGATTGAGGGACATTTTCCCCTCTCTTTGGCTCCAGCTATTCTGGGTTATTTCAGGGCCTCTCAGCCCAGTCACAGTCTCCAGTACCTGGCATTGGCTGCTGGGTGAGTCCCGTCCACCCACATCCAAGCCCCCTCGAGTGCCTGGTCCGTGAGGCCCATCCAGGAGGATGATTTCATGGAAGCCACGATGTGAGCCTGAGGTCAGAGAGAATAGAGTTACTCTGGAGGATTGGGCGCCAACCCCAGTCACCCCCGCAGGACAGGGGCTGCTGGACATGGACAGGCCCCGGTGCTGCCAGCGGGGTTCCAGCAGGGATAAATGGTGAAGCAGGGGCTCAATATGACATGGTGCCAGGGTTACGCTGGCCCCCAGGAGCCCTGAGCTGGGAGGGACCTACTGAGTGCAGTGTCTGCTGCTACTCATGGCATCTCTCTCCTTGACTCATGGCAGCCCCACAATCCTCCCCACAGTGCAAGAGCCTTCCCCTCTGCAGCTTCTGCAGCCCAATGAGGTGAACTGGAGAGGGGCCGAGGGAGGGAGCACAGCAAGGGGGGGATGGGCTGTGTGATGCTGGCAGACCAGGTACCAGCTCTTGCCAAGGCTGCGGGCATCAGCTGAGCCCTGACAAATACATAGCTGGAAACCAGACCAGCTCCCCTGTAGGTCAGTATTGTTCAAGACAGCTGTTAGACGTGTAAAGCTGTGTTTAGACTCTATGGAATGCTTGTAAGTTGCTGCATGCCTTCATTTCTCTGGTACTGTTTGTATCCCATGCTATAAGGTGATTTGTAAGTTTTACTTAATCATTGTAAAAGTGCCTGCTCTGAACTCATGAACCCAGTCAGGCAGAATGGTTCCCCGCCCATTGAGAAGGGCTGTCGAAACGAAATGGGCCATTGTGGAACATCATGATCTAAAGAGATGGCCCTCTCACGCCCATGAAGGTGCTACGTGTAAGAAAGCCCATCCTGTCAGCTTGAATGCCGGAAGAGGGGAATAAAACAGGGACACAAGAAATGTTTTTCATCTTTGCTGTTTGGACTCTCATAGGGCTGGAGCTAGGAAAAAGGAGCAGAGATCCCCAAGTCAAGCTGGGTTGGCCTAAAAGACATTCAGCGGACAGATTACTACAGTTCTGCCACCTTTTGGAACCATAGACTAACTCGTTTGTGTCTACATGATACCTGCTTTAACCTGTAAATCTCTCTCGTTTCCTTTTCCTAGTTAATAAATCCTTAGTTTACAATTGGATTGGCTACAAGCATTGTCTTTGGTGTGAGATCTGAGGTACAAATTGACCGGGAGTAAGTGACTGGTCTCTTGGGACTGGAAGCAACCTGTATCTTTTGTGATCTTTGGTGTATGGCAACCAGCTGTCACTAGCCCAGCGCACCTGACTGGCAATATAGACTGGAGCCCCAGGGGACTGTCTGTGGCAAGACTGGTGTAGTGCTTCAGGAGTTCACATTTGTTACCTGGTTGGTGATACCTATTTATAGACTGTACAGCTGGTTTGGGGTGTGTGCCCTGCATACTGACAGTCTGCCCTGAGCTTGGCACTCATGGTTGTGAGCCACTCCAGACAGTGTGACAGGAGGGGACCCAGTGAGGAGGAAGGGCTGTTGTACTGGTGGGGGCAGGGACCATTGCAGCCAGTTGTTTCACTGATTGGCTGGCAATTTGGTCTCACACCTTGGCTGGGTCTCCAGTGAGACGGAGGGGATTCAGAGGGCTCTCCTCCCCTGCCCAGTCTCTTCCCTTCTGGCCCCTTTAATTATTGCCTCCAACCCAGGCTCCCCTCCCTGTTGCGGAGTCACTTTTCAGGCTGCACTCATTCTTCTCCTGGATCCCTTCCCCAGCTCCTCCCTCCCATGCTTCCCCCTACCCCCCAGTGCCCCCTAGCCTCCAGGACACCCTGCTGCCCCACACATGGTCATCTCTCACCTGCTCAGCGAGGCTGGTCACCTGGAGGAGCAGGGCACCTAGAGAAGCACAGGAGCAGTTGGCAGCATCCCAGGTGCCCAGGGAGCGGGAGTGGAAGTAGCATCTGTCCTGGAAGAAAGTCCACCCCCTGCGACATGGGGTGCAGACTGGGGGGGAAGGGGAGGAGGGACCATGTTAGTCATCGGGGGGGGGGGGGGTTGCGGGGCAGGGGAATATCCGGGCAGCCTCAGGATCTAGGGCAGTCTGCAGAGACTAGCAGGGAAGCCCAGCAGTTAGAGGACTGGGAGCCTGTGTTCTTGGGTCTGCCTCTCCTGCCTACTCCCTGGTGCTCGCCAGCAGGTCTCTGCTCCTCTTGGCACCTGAGGCTAGAGCAAAGGCCCTGCAAACCTTAACGTGGAGATGCAGCCTAAAGAGACTAGAGGTCCCAGCATGCACTGCTCTCTGCCCCCTTCCTCTTGGGTTAAGATGGAGCCACACACGCTGGTACAGTCACAGAAGGCTGCAGCACCCCCAGCTCAGTGTTTCATGCCAACCAGATGCAGCCCCCAGACCTAAGGCAAGTCACTGGAATGGCCTTCATTAGCTCTGGGTCCCATTAGCCCCGTGCCAATACCCAGGGGAGACACCCATGCTCTGGATACAGACCCCCGCCTCCACACACCACCCAGTGCTGCCCCAGGGAGTTAACCCCATCCTGGCCCAAGAATTCATACACCCCAATGGGCTGAGCCACAGAAGGAAGCAGGATAGCAGGCAAATTTGCCACAGGGGCCAGTGGCAGGGCCAACACGTGCGGAGATCCTGTAGGCTGCTCAGCCAGCGTGCAGCCACACAAATAATCACAGCAGAGGGCTGGGAAATAGAGGGTAAGCAGCATGTGGGACGGGATGGGGCAGGGGTTTGGGCTGTCCCTGTATCTGCCCCGTGCTGCATTTGACCCAAGTGGGCGGCCTGTTGCTTGGTGGCTCAGCTAGCACAACCCGCAGTCATCAGGATGGTAATGGGCACCAGGACAGAGCCCTGTGAGGGTGAACAAATTAAGGGCAATGTGGAAGGGTTGGCTTCAGCCACTGAACTCCAGGGAAAGGCTCCCACAGACTTCAGCACAGCCAGACCAGGCCTTACATGGCCCTAGATTTCAGAGTCATCTCCCCACTGAGACGCTGCAGGGGCAGCTCCCCGCTTCTCAGAGCCAACATCTCAGGCTCTCTGCAGACTCAGGCAGATATCGGTAACATCTGGGTCACATTTACAATGGAGCACAGCTCTGTAGGGAGGATCTACAGCCTGCAACTATTGGACATGAAGGCCTTGCCCATGGGACAGGAGCTCCTGAGACAAGGCAGCCATTAATGGGCCTTGTCCTCATTTTCAGCAAAAGGAGTCCCAGAACCCTGTGGGGTGGGATGATCCCAGATGGGACTCTTGGGTTCTGTTCCCAGCTTTGGGATGGGAGTGGGGGGGTCTGGTGGTTAGAATGTGGGTGGGGCAGGTTCATAGCTGCTGGAACTAGGGATGCTGGGGGGGTATGGCCGCACCCCTTGGCTTGAAGTGGTGTCCATTATATATAGGGCTTACAGTTTGGGTCAATGGCTGTCAGCACTCCCACTATACAAATTGTTCTAGCACTGCTGGGCAGGTTCCATCAGGTACATGGGCAGCGCCGTCATGGCTTGGAGCTAGGGCAGGGAGGGACACTGGCTGGCGTGTTTGAGGTGAAGGCCACAGGGCCAGGTGGGTCCTGCAGAACTCACCATGAGAGGAGCAGAAGCAGAGGTCCTCATGGCTCCCATAGATGACCCAACGGCTCCAGGGCCCGTTCCCCGTGTACAGCATCACCACGTGGTTCTGGTTGTTGCCATAGTTGAAGTAGAGGTTCTCCTTGGCGAGGGCCAGCAGCCCGTCTGCCCGGCACTCCCAGTGCTGCAGCTCCCTGTGGGCCTCGCAGGGCTCCAGGCGCACAGCCATCCGGCTAAGCTGCTTTGGCACAGCTACGCACTGCTGGTGGGCCACATTCAGCAGCTGGCCCCGAGACAGCCACTGGAAGTGCTGGCTGGGGGAGCCGGGGGCGCAGGGCGCGGCTGTCAGGGAGCCACCAGCTGTCACATCCACACACAGCTGGTGTGACTCACTGTAGATCAGGAAAGAGCCAGAGGCTGGAGAGTGGATAGAGGGGGTAAGTACTGGGGCCAGGGCCGGTGCAAGGAAGTTTCGCACTCTAGGCAAAACATCCACCTTGCGCCCCCCACCCCCAGCCCTGCGGCAGCTCCCCGCCTCCACCCTGAGGCGCTCCCCTGTGGCAGCTCCCCCTCCCCGGGGAACCGTGCGGCAGCTCCCCACCCCAGCTCACCTCTGCTCTGCCTCCTCCCTGAGCACGCTGCCCCCACTCTAATTCTCCTCCCCTCCCAGGCTTGCGGCCCCAAACAGCTGATTGGCGCCGCAAGCCTGGGAGGC